CCCCCCCCCCCCCCCCCAAAACAAAAATTAAAATTGACACAATTTACCATTTTGGATGTAAGCTGTTTTGACCCTGCATGGCAAGGCGAACCTGTGTTCAGGTGGAAACAGTATCCCAGCAGTCAAGCAGAGACACTCGATAGATCTCCGCTTTGCTGGAATCGACGTCATATTGTGTGAGCATAAACGAAAAGCCTAAACATTACATCAAAGATGTCAGAACAAAAACAACTATGACCATGACTTGCCACTACAACGACATCAGCAATGGTAACACTAATCACTTCTTCTTCTTCTTTTCCTCTACTTCCGTTGGTTTCTCAACCATTGGTTCGCCTCTGACAGATGACAACATATCTCTTCCACTCCTCTCGGCTTTCTGCTTTCCTCAGTGTGTTCCGCAACTTCATAGCTGTCCATTCTCCGACGTCATCCTCCCATCTCTTCTTCTGTCTGAGTCTGTCCCTCCTTCGTCCTCCCTGCACAGAGCCGTGAAAAATTGTTTTACGAAGCCCCTTAGGCCTGAAGAACAAGAGATATGGCCATACCAGGTCAGCTTGTGTTGCTTGAAAGAAGGTCGATGTAAGGCCCGATTGCGTTGTTTTTATTTCTTCATTGATGATGTGATCTCTCTATGAGATGTTTAGCAGTTTACGGAAGCAGCTCATCTCGACAACAACTACGAGAACAAAAAAAAAAATAACAAAAAGAAAATTTTCCAAAATAGAAGTTTACCTGATACCTGCCACTCATCAGCTGACCACGAGTGGGTGAACAAATGGGCTGGACATAATAGTTCTCCAACTTCACTCCATCAGACGCCAGCTAATGAAGAGAACCAGGGGATCAGGAACATGGCATTATATGTGCTCAATGGCATTTTAACAGCTGTATTGTTTTTCACTCTAGTAAAAGAGAACAGTAGCAATGCAGGCCTCGACATGAATGCCGAGAAAACAAAAACAAAGGTAATATCAAAACTAATGAAAAAACTACAGACATAACCATAGATGGGGATAGAATAGAACAAGTACAACAATTCAAATGTCACGGGGCAACAATCACAGACGATGGCAGAAGTGAAAATGAAATAAATATAAAAACAACAAATGTAAAAACAAGATTCAGCCAAATGCACAAACTATTTATATCTCTACTTTTAAGAAATTAATGGTCGAATGCTACATCTTGCCCCATATCCCCATACTGTCGTTGACACTTGGAAATTAACAAAGAAAAAAGATGCGGTGCTACCGCAGAACGGCCAGAATTAGCTGGAAAGCACCAAAAAAATCCCATAAAAAAGACGAACAATGAGGTGTGTCAGATTGTCCACAAAAGACAAACCCTGCTTAAGAAAATAAGATAAAGAAAAACACATTTTAGTTATTTAAAACTACATCAGATCATTGTGAAAGAGGTGCTTGAAGGAAGGATGTGGGGCAGGAGAGCCAGGGGTGGACAAAGAGTAATATGGATGGACAACATTAAAACATGAACGGGCCTGGCCATAGCAGAATGGGCCTGGACATAGCAGAATGTGCAATAGGAGCTCGCGACCGTGAAGTATGGAGGGTCATTACACGTCAACCTCAGAGTCAGAGATGACAGCTCCAGGTATTCCAGGTAATGTTTTTCTCAGACAGGACCTTAAAGATACAAAGGTGGGTCCAAAAGTGATGCAAATTTGTTTATAACTTAAAGAAAAGGGAAATCAATCGCAACTATCATAAATTATCTCAAATTGAAGGGGAGCATCTGAGGATGAGATTTCAAATTCTCAACATCGTCTCCTTCTTGTTCGATAGCCAATGTCCACCGTTTAGTAAGTCCACATTTATAATGTTAGCTTCGTAGAACTGAGCGAACCGGTGGTTGAGCTATAATTTTTTCACAACAGCGTTGACATCCTCATATAATTTCCAAAGTGTTGATCTTGCAATGCTTCTTTTATAGAACCGAAAAAGGGGAAAGTGTCATTATTTTACCTGGTCAGTCAACCCCTGATGTCAGGGCAGGTAAGATCTAACACCAAACCTTTTCGGAAAAGGGCCAAAAAATCTCAGAGGTCCAATGTGCAAGTTGCGCAATTTAAAGATCCCTTAGTGGTCCTCAAATCGATATAAGAGTAGGCTTCGGTCGCCACCTGAAGCAAAATTTAGAATTAATTCCTACCAAACTGAAAATGTTTAATTATGTGTCCCGCGCCCTCATATAACTTTAGACTAAACTTTAGTATGCAGTTGCGAGCGCCGTTAAACACTTTGATCTAAACACACACAAAAATGTTTTAATACCTGATCAAGATTTGGGGTGGAAATCTGTGATCCGTGGTAACCGATGTCATTGAAGCCATAGTCGTCTGCCAATATAAAGACGATGTTTGGCTGTTTGTTGTTGTTGTTGTTACTTCCGCTTACAACTGACAGCCAGACGGCAAACAAAAGTCGTAGAGACAACGTCATCATTTCCCGTGAAGATTCAGCCGTTGTCTAACGAAACACCTTTTCCCGTCTTCTCTGAACTGGAGAAAAATTCAAAGACCTTACGCCAGCCATCAATTCTAGCTATTGTTTCTTTTCCATTCAACGATGATGATGATAATAATAATAACATTAATAATAATAATAACAACAACAACAATAACAACAACAATAACAACAACAATAATGATAATAATAATAATAA